TCTGGCACCTTTTGATGGAAATTCAAAACTCTGCAACTATCCTGTTTACGTTAATCATAAAATTCACACAGATTGAATGCTAACAGAATGGTTGGTCATGTTTTATACATACCTTGCATTTTAATCAAATGATCACCTGCCTGTACATTTTCTGCTGCTTCCAGTGTCTTGATTTATATCCCTAGAAACACTCTGCCTGCCCTAGATCAGAATAACATCAAAAAACCCAAGTTTTTGTGTACAGTAATTTTGCTTTCATTAGGCTTGCTAATGTAAACAATGGAAGTAAACCAATCACTCCAAAAGGCTTTGTTGCCTTGTTGCACATATTTTGAGAGTTGGAAAGACAAAGGATGAAAGTAAGAGTTCTGAGAGCCCCAAACCAGGGAATACAATGTTAAAATGCCTGATATTGCACATGCCACAAGGTCTCTACCCAGTTGTACATTTCAGCTTTGTACAGCTTTTGCACCTTCAGCTGTCCCACTTACTTCTACCACTTTTCAACAAAACTGTCCTCTGCCATCACTTTCATCCAGGGCAGATATTCACACTACCAGCTTCTGTCCCTCTATTTACAACAGGTACTGTAGTATGATTTAGGGATTTTGTTGGGGGAACATACTGGCTTTAGACTCATGACACTCAGGAGGGCTGGCATTAGTCTTGCTGACAAATCTGAAACGGAGTGCAAACCTCCCAGAGGAGATGCCAGTGGAAGGCATGTGCTATCAGTGAAACTGTGCAGGATACAGGCCTTCATCCAAGATCATCATCCCAAAATTGAAATGCCAGTTTTACAGCCAGTAAGCTGGTGAGCAGTATTTCATTATGTGGCATTCAGCAGAAAATATCAGCTACTAATATACAAATATACGGAGAGATTTTCTTTCAGACTTTGACTTGAATGTACCTATGACAGTGACTGAAACTGTGTTTTCTGACTGACCTGGAATTTAACATCAGACTAAACTCTGATCTGCTCTGCCAGATGTGTCAGGGTAGCATATGGCTCTGCATTGTGCAGGCCAACACAAGTGAAAAGAGAAGGCAGACTAGAACATTACAAATCCAAGGTCCTATAGCAAATACTTCTTTAAGCCTTTTATTGAGTTTGAGTCAGTATGTAACTCTGTCCTGGAGTTAACTATTAAAAAGGCAACCATTTTAGACACTGCCCTGAAATACAAGATTATAAAATGCAAAACAGGTTAACTTTGCCATCTGGAGTGGTGGAAGCTGAATACACAGTCACTTGCTACATTTAAAATGACAGCCCAATCCACATGAGGAATTACCAGGAGAACAAAGCGGACAAATACTCTTTTGATCGCTTCCTTGAATTTCCAAGCTCTGTGTACCCATGTTTGCCTACTATCAGGTAAGTGCTGGGTGTTTCATGTGACAGTTAAAAGGCCAGTGCTATTTTTAGCCGTGTACACATTGCAAGGTAGCAGAAATGTAGGGCAATTCACACTGGCACGGCACACGCAATTCTTGCCTGAAAGCACACTGCCCTCCAAGTGCTGCTTGAAGAGAGAGGGCTACTGTCCCAGTTGAAAGATGGTTTATAATATCTCTGTGTCAAAATCTAGTCCAAATATATATGCCCTCAAACACAAGGGGCCAAGTGAAGTAGATTTTTTTGTCTGAGGCTCTGTTTAAGCCAACAAAGGGTGAAACAGGGCCACCGCGTGATCCTCACAAGCAGCCTCTCTGTCTTTCCAACCAGAAACATTTAGTTCTGACCAATGTTTTAAACTGCACATTGGCTCTGGCTCCAGGTTCACAAAGAACGCAGAGGGGCTCTCAGAGGACAACAAGCTGGGCAGATCAATGCCGACCTCAGCCTCCTCACCAGCAGCCCAGCAGCCAGGGTGAGGATTCAAGGACAGGGAGGTTGTTCCGAGCTGCAGTGGAGTTGTCGTTCTACATGGAGTGGCACAAAGAAGAGACAGCCAGAATTTCTCTGGTGGCTTTGGGCAATGAAGTAGTTTTTGCTGCTGGGAGGAGAGAGAAAACACATATAACCACAAGCTGGTCTTTGGAGCTGCCAGATGAGTCTGATGTCAGTGGAGAAGATGGCCTAGAAGGAGGGTAGGCATAATAGCACCAGGAGAGGGAGCTAAGCCCTTCAAAGACAAGGCGACATCAGATAAATCATCCATGCACACTTTGCACACCTCAACAGGTGAAGGAAGAATTGTTGTTTGAGGTAGAGCTGAAAATGAGATGCAGCTGGCAAAAAATCCCCATTATTAGGGATAAATGTTAGGATACATATGAAATGATGAGCAAATTGCACACTTAAAACGAAAACAGGAGAATGAAAAAAAAAATCTGTCCCTGACCTGCCATTTTACCATACTATAAATTCTGATTTAACTGCAGAAATATATGTTTGAATTATGTTGAATGGAGTTCACGCAGAGTTATTAACAGAAAAGCTCAGGGTGAGAGAGGTGATGGCTCAGCTACCTTTCAGTAACTGCAGATTATTTAAGGTCTGTAATGTGCTTTAAAGATGAAAACCACTGAGTGTTTAGTAAATTAGAACAAGAAAAAAATTCCCCAACAGTGGTGTCTATTAAATTACAAAATAACCTCTCCAGGGAAGCCTCAGAAGTATTGTCACTAAATAAATTTAAAACTGAACAGCTTGAAATGTGTTTACTGTAGGAAAGAGACCTGCATTTGCCCCCGGGAAAAGATATGAAATATCCTAAGGCTTCAATAGTCTTTTATCTCCATTTTTTTATCACTCTTTCCTGATGCACAGGGGAGAGAGATGATTATTTAAGCTCTTTTTTTCCCCTCTGGAGCTGTCTAGTGAAATGTGCTGACAGGTACTATCCATCGACTGTGTATTTCAGGTAATTCACAAGGCAGGCAAGTACGGGGACCCACATCCTTTGACAAAAAACACGCACATGCTGGAGGAGGAGACAGCTTCTCTTTGAGACCAAGACAACCTGTCAGCCTTTGTCATTTTCAAGGTAGACCACAAAAATTTTACTCAGACACACATCCAGACAAATGACACACAGAAAGCAGCAAGCAACAGTTTAGTCAATCCTAGGCTGTCATGGGATGCTCAAAACAAAAGGCCTTCTCTTTTCTCTTATGATCCTACTGCATCTGGTCCACGCAAAAAGAGCAGCTCTCTTCTCTTGCTATCACAAGAGCCAGGATGAAGGTTGTTTATATTGACAATGGCAGAGGGAGGGGCAGGGACAGGAGGAAGGAGAACAGGAATCTAACAAGCTAAGTCAGCTGGTAGAAGAAGGGATTCAGACAATGCCAATATCAACTTTTACACAGCACAAGAAGCTCAGTTGTTTTGGGTCTGATTTGCCATTAGCTCAAAGCTACATCCGTGTCTGGGATGGTTATGTATTGCAGCCCCCATCCTGTGCGCATCTCACAGCAGCTGTATCTGCCCTAAACTTCTACGGAGCAGGCTACAGGCTCTGATGAGGTTTTTTATAGCCTTCAGGTAAGTGCCCTGTGAGCCCGGAGAGGCGCTGTCAAGCACGATTTGAGTGAGTCACAGGGCGGCGGCTATTATGGTGAGTACCAATTACGCTGGAGAAGTTCCTTTGTGTGACACGAGGCTCAAGTGTGGGCAGGCCTTTAGGGAGATGCAGCTCCTGTCTGACCAACACAACTGTTCTGTGGTTCAGCAAGAACGAGAAATGACACGATGGCAGACACTGTTTGAGGGAGGGAGGTGTAATCCAACGTAGAGGATGCCATCAAGAACAGCAGGGAAGATAATAAAATGCACTTCAGCTACTTTTTCTTAACTTGTACAGATCTTCAATACTTCTATTAAATTACATTTGCTATCATTACTTGATTATCTGTAGGTTTTTACAGTAAATGGGAATTATAGCAAAAAAAAAAAAAAATCCAGAACTAATTTAATGTTATTACTGAGATATGTGGAGTATACAAAAGTTCTTTTCAATAGTACCCAAATGTATCCTCAGCATAATTACTTTACTACGAAGTTGTCTGCTTAGCAGTAAAGGGCTCATATTTTTTCCTCTGCATTCAGCAAAATGTCAGATGTTGTACAGATATTCTTCAGATATGAAGAGCTTGCAGGCCACATAAAACTTCAAGGAAGCAGGGGGAGAAAGAGAAATATAAATTGAAACCCCTCAAATGACATCCACACTTCCAGCTACATTCTGTAGGCCAGTTGGCAGCACATGGGAGTCAGGTAAGAGTTTATAAACTCCATTTCCAGAGGCAATCAGACAAGTAGTGCTGAGGCAGGTAGGAAGGAAAGACACTGGTCACTTCATGCATGATACTTTGGTATGACCTGCCATTACACAGTCCCTAATGAAATTTTGCTATGCAGCATTGGCAAGAGCTAGTGAGGATGGCTGGTCACTGTCTCACCTTGTTTCTTAATCTTCATGGGCTTTTAAGATAACTTACCCAATCCTGCAATTTGCAAACCAGTCATATGCTGTTGGTAAATCCAAATCTCCCATCACTGCTTGTCCTACTTTCTGGGACAAAGTCCCAGTACTGCAGTACAAAGTTGCAAACCAAGTATCGCCATTCAGGGAATAAATCTGAGCTGCAGATCAAAACCCAAGATGCTTGAAAAGGGAATATTTGATGTGGAAAAAAGATCTCACATTACAAGACCTTTGCAAGTTTGACATCAGAAATCAATCCAGAACTTTACTTCTCAGAGTATACAGGTACTCAAAACGCTTATTTCACGGTGATACCATTTTCATCCTGTATCTTAATGGGAAATTACTTGATAGCCAACAGCAGCACTATCAGAATTAGAACCAAAGTTTCAGTAATGGAGATCTCTTTATATTGAATCAAATTTGTCATTAAAATTCATCAAAGGAAAATTTCACTATCAGCAAATTTGACTGATGTACTAGAAGATTTTTCAAGCAGTACATTTAAACCAAACAAGAAAATGATGGCATATTCCAATAAATCCACCAGATTGTTGTAAATTACATATAAAAATGTTTTTTAATTAGAGGCTTGTTTTATGATAAGGTATGTTAATATTCATACTTGCTCAGGAAACATAAAGTCACAGCACATGTGCCAAAGCTCATTATAAAAGCATATGATTCAAATCATATCCTAAAAATAACAATAAATCTTGCGTTATTGCAAGTTTCTTGTAGCATATCAATGTTATAAGGCAAAACAAAATACATTATATTTTAAGAACAGCTTCATTAAATAATTGAATGAAATATTTACTGTATGCAATGGACAAATCAATAACAAACAGCTTCTCAGCTTTTCTCTTAATAACAAGTGATCCATTCTCATTCCTTTCCTCCAAAAACAAGTGATGTAAACAACTTTTCCCAAAGCTTATTGAAGTACTGATAGCAAACATCCTGAGTAAAAGATACATATTTGAGTGAAACAGATAAATCATAGGGATGTCTTTTCAGAATTTTATTACATTGTTTCACCTTCTACAGATCAAATAAGCAATTCCTTTTCTTGTAAATAAATGGCTAAGGAAAATACATAGTATTGTCTTTAGAGAATTTCTGGTGAGCACCTATTTCACCACCACAGCTTCTCACTTAGTATTCTCAATGTGTGATGACAATCTTTTTAGGAAGACATTTGGATGCTCTTTCTTCAAAAGTCCTGTATGGCCAAAAAGGCACAACTTATGAGTGAAGCCAATTGTTACTGTCACTGAATCTTTAACTTGCAATCACTGAATTTTTAATCTTGATCTAATTATCATAGGGGAAAAAAAAGAAGAATGCTATTAAGTCTCACTAATGACAAAGTTGAAACTGTAACACACATCTCTTAGTACCTACCCCTTTTCTGCTTTATACTCACCTTGTCACTGCCCACCTGAATCCTAAGGTGGCTGGCCTCACACCATATATAAGATTTTATGTACACTGGATACTTTCTCTTTGTTACACCTAAAACCAATTTTACGCAGTTGTCAGGTCTGCCTTTATTTAACTATTAGTCAGTTGACCACTGATACATTGTTTATAGCCCTCTATTGACACCTCAGATCTGTACTCCTCTGCAGTGCATCCAGTAGCTTTCCTTTTGAGCCTCTGCCATGATACCATGTTTATTGTCCTCCATGCCACATCATTTTGCTAGGGTCCTGCATTCTTCATTCCACATGAAAGAACTCTCAGCTAAATAAAAATTATGGTTACATCACATAACTGTACAAAACTAAGCAAAAGCAGAGCAAATTGTGTAACAGTCACCTGTTCATTAGGAAACTGCCCCTGCAGCTAAATAAGCTAAAGCAAAGCCCCAGGCAGGCCAAGACAAGCCCAGACAAAGCCTGAAGTCCTGAGGCTCTTGCAAAACTTCTGTGCTGTTACAAACAACAGCAACGTGTGTTACCATGAATACAGTAAATACTGAGCTACAGGGCTACACGAAGTTTGGGTGCATGACAGCCTACAAATGTAGTTCATCCTTGAAAAGCTCTATCACATAGTTACAGCCAGAGACAGGAACTTGGGTCAACTAGCCTCCTCTTTGCAATCACTTCAGTCTCACTTGGAAGTAATTAACTTATCATAATTATTACTAACAACTGTATCTATCCTGACCCAGCTGTGCTAATTGGTGACTACTGTTTCCTTCCTACCTCGAAGAAAGTCAGCCTGCTTTAAAGGTGAAAAAGTTTATAAGGTTTCTTTTGCTGGTGACTGGCTTTTCCATCTACTTTAGCCCAGTCAAGAGCATACAGGGAAATGTTTCTTTCTCTTCACAGAGGAGCAGGATCTGGCTTAATACTGAGCCACAAATGGGCCCTGAGACCTAGGGGCCAGTTGAATTAGGTTCTATTCCTGGTTCTTCAGCAGTTCCTTGCATGACCTTGGGGAAGTCACTAGTAATCTGTGACACAGGGCTGACGTTTATCCTAATAAATTGAGGCAGTATTGTCCCTTAAGAAGTTATGCCAAAGCAGTTCAGCAGCTATAGATAAAAAGTGCCATTTAAATGCATGCTTCTATTTTATTATCCACAAAAGTCACTCCAAGCCAATTTTGTCATTTCTGACATGGACCCTTTTAACTTGCACTGAAATGCTGCATCAGCCCTGAATGCTAGATCTCAGTGAACATCACCTGAAGCAAGCACTGTGTGTATGGCTGGATGAGTTGCAAGAAAGAAGCTGCCCTACCTTCCTTAATCCCATTTTCAACTGCAACACAATCATACTCTGGAAGTGAGCATTGGGATACTGTGCTTTTCATCAGCATCTTCTCAGAGAAGCCTAGAACAAAAAAATCATAATACTTCATGCCATAGCTCTTTTATTTTTCTTCACTCAGTCCTGACCTTGCTAGCTTCAAGTCAGCTTCAGAATACCTCCTGCTGTGCAGCTCCCTATGACACTCTTAGAGCAACTCCTTTGCCTCAGAAACATTCCTTCTTGTGCTCATTTCTCTTATTTTTCATTTTAGACCAGACTGAATAGAACTTTGAAACCAACAAAAATTCAGCTATGTTTAACTGAAAGTTCAAGGTCACAAACAAGGTCACAAATGTCCAATTTAATGGAATTTCATGGAGGATTTTCTCAAATTTTTGGTTCCTCCTATCCTGACTGATCCCAGCCCCTGATCATACTGTCATTTCTATTGTGCTCTAAAACAAAAATAGAGACATGCCTATATTCACAATTATTCCTCACCCTTCCCTACCATAGAAGTTTTTCTAGGAAGAAGCTTGTCAAAATATGCTTAGGTTTTCTACCCACCAATACTTGTAAATAAACTCCTCATCGGGCCTGCAAGTCAAAGTGGAGTCTTGGAGTTACCCCAGGAAAAAAACCACAACCCCCGAAAAAAACCCTCAGAAATGTTAGTTTAGGAGGGTTAGACTCCCTGGTAGGCTCAATGGAAGGTTACAAACATTGCTGTAAGCACTGAAATACTACCCCATCCTGTGTTCTGCACTGTACCCTGGTGCTTTATGCTGCTTCTGAGGTATACCCTTCAGGTCTATGGGCACCATTACATGTTCATGGATTTTCATAAATTATAAAAATCATAGCAACTGTACATTAATTATCTTATATCTCAGATTTACAGTGATCTTTATAAAAAGACAATATGCAAAGCATTCTTTACATTAGGAGAAATTATGTCAATAGGTGATTGTTTCTATTAGTGATGTTATATATGAGTGGTTTGTATTATAGCTGTAGGCTGAGTCTAAGAGTTTTCTTAGTGAAATTATTATCTGAATCTTCTGAATACCCTGATGGTATTAATCTCCTCTTTCTTCAGAATAACTCTTAAACTTACCTTCTCTTTTTAGGGTATTTGTCATCTCCAATTGCTAAAGTTTACCAGCTTAACCCATATGCTCCCAAACAAATCTGTTAGCACAGAGGCATTCAAAGCACAAAAAGCACAGACTTCAACTTTCATTCATTTTGCTCAAAACCAAACAATTCCTGAGGGCTGCTCTCAAATGGAAACAGTGCCCGATTCAGACACTCCCATGTGTTTTTCTTTACTAGAGTTTATATAGCATTTTGTTTTCCAGAACACTTTCTCTACTTTGTTTATGACAATTAATGAAACCAGGCCTGCATAGAGAGAGGGTATTTAATGTTACAGCATACAGGGTACTCAGCCTATGCTGGCCTATTCAGCACTGCATATTTCTAGCACTCTTTCCAATTTATTTCTAAGTACTTCTATTCAAAGGTCTTCTATAATTAGGCCAAATACAATCAATTCATAGAGCACCATTGTTTTCCCATGTTTCAAAGGAGTTGTTCAGCGCTGTTACATACTCTGAATTGATTGAGCATGGGGATTACTTTATCTCCAGGGGAGACGATGATCAGCATTTCCCACCCAGTTCCTGAGCTGTCTTTACTAATTTATCTTAATAACATCTTTGTGTTTTGACTCAGAAGGAAAGAGATCAAAGCAGAGAACAAGGCAGGCATACTCTCAAGATTAAAATTGGCCAGAGGCAATCAGCAGAGCAAGTAAACAGCTCTTTAGCAGTCTGAAAAAACGTGAACATTTTTGTGCTCCTGCAAGCTCTCTCCCAGTTAGCTTGGGAGGCCACATCTACTGCTCATGCTATTTCTTGTTGTCATCCCACTCCTATTGCCCTTTATCACCCTTGAACTTCATTAATGAGTAATGTTACAACCAACCTTCTGGCTCCTTAACAAGACAGCCCAGAACCATATTCCTTAAGGAAATGGGGTCATCTTACAATTACACCAAGTTTCACTTTAACCCTGAGCCCTGGCATGCTGAGGAGGACTCATGTCTCTCTGAGGTGTAGTGCTCAGTCTCCTCAGCATACAATTTTGGGGCTTTAAGGGTCAGTGTATTTCAGTGTTTCAACACTATCTCGTTTCACTTTCACAGGAATAGAGGGCTGAGCATACGGGAGGTGGGGGAGCTTACGTTCTATCTGATACTTGATATGCCTCACTTGGTACCTTGCCGTCTCTGATGGTCCTCTGTGTTCTCATCTCTCTGAGAAATGAAATTGCTTTGCTGCAAGTTAGCTCCACATCACATCTTGAACAGGACAATGCAATCAGAAGGAAAATGAGAAAGAGATTGTACTCCTTGTCTTTCTGCATGGGAGCCTGAAACATAACTCCTGCTTATTTTCTTGACTTTCATACTGAGAAGACAGAATTGATGCAAAGGAGCACACCAAAGTGTTCATTTTAGCTTCCATTGGAGCTTGGGTTTTAAAGTGAGTCTTTCAGTGAGTTCAGGAGCCACTTCAATCTAGTTTAAAAGTGATTTTACTTTTTCTTTTTTTTTTTTTTTTTAATCAATGAGCATTAGGTTTATCCTGTGCATTCATCTTGCTTAAAGGCAGAGGTGGACAGAAGCAATTCAAATTTGATTGAAAATCAATGTGTACAAATACAAGGTCATGTGGCCTGGGAACAAGAGACACACTTGCTGTGGAACACAGATTCAGATCCTGCTAAGCAGCAGTTCTGAAAATGACAGGAGGTCACAGCAGAGCAGTGCCCTGGTGTCACTAGCATCATGCTATAACAAGAGGAACACTGCTGCTACCTATATAGTAGCACACTGAACACAGAAGTGGTACACCCTCACTATTTGGTGGTGATGAGGCTGTTGCTGACACACTTGAGCCCAGACTTGGGTTTTGAAGTGTTGGAGATGTGGGAAAGATATTTGAAGTTTGTGAGTGCTGTCAGTATTGTAGGTCCTCTCATCTTTTCTCTCTTTCCCAAGCCTTGCGCACACCACAGGTGTCTTCCCTGCTAACTTGTGATGCAGTCCAGTACTAGGGAACAGAAGACTCCAGGCATCTTTTAAAGAATGACATTGGGCAGGTGCAGGTGTTCTTGTGCTAAATGTTCTTCTGAAAGGCAGAGACCAGTTCAACCAGTCCCTTCATACCTGCTGCTAAGAAAAGCAAAAAGAAGAAAGCCAGCACTAGTCCAAAGGAAGTGAGGAATCCTGTCTCACAGGACTCCCTGATGAGTGCTGCACACCAGAGCTCTGCTGTGACATGTATCCGGACAGAGGCAAGCTAAGCTTAACCTGGGAAGCTTTAAAGAAGAAACTAATCTTTCCCATGGGTCACAACCTTACTAGAAACCAGAATTTGAGAGGTCCTTCATGAAAAGCCTGTCACAGTGCTGGAAGGCAGCTCCCAGAGCACAAGTGATAAAGGAGTGAGGAATACAGACCCATGGCATGTACAGGGCCTGGGTTCAGCTCCATTCCATCACAACCTGCCATGATGGTTGAGCCATCACTGACTCTAACGTTTCCTTTACAAAAAAAAAAAAAAGTCGTATTTTCATTTTCCTTGTATGTAGTACTGCTCTAGAAAAGCTAACTTTTGTCCCTACAGATTTTATTCCTCACTCGCTTCCATCTTTCCTACTGGTGAAAATAGGCCAGAAATGTAGAAACACTAATATAAAAATGTTGCCTTCTTGAAACCACTTCTGAGAGCTAAGGAATAGGAAGTGACCAATGTCTGGCCATTGCTTTTTAACTGGCTAAACATCTAGCCATTGTTGGGGGGGTTTTTTACCAACTAAAATGCCTGTCAGATTTATCATGATATGCAGGGTTCTGCAGAATCAAACAGCCACCGGGCTCTTTGGAGTTACCACCAGACTGACTGGAGCTTCTACAGAACTAGATGAGCAGCCCTAATTAAAATTGTCCATTACAAACCAGCTTTAATCTCCATGCAAGGCATGTGTCAGCCCTATTTAACCAGGAAGGAAACTGGGCAGAGATGAAGTCAGGGTAATTAGCTCTTCTCTCTCCCCTTGATATCCCATTCATGGGAATATTTACAGAACACAAAAGTGATCAGCAAGCTTCTTAAGTCCAGAGAGTAATGCCAGATGGGTCAGCCATGCCACTGGCACAAACAGAGAAATAGTGCCCTGCTCGTGGCCTTCATATGGCTGTTTCACTCCTTTATGTGGAAACGTGGACTGTGTCTCACTTGCTACAAGGCTGGCCACACTCAGACTGGGGGAAGTACATTATCTTTCAGATACATCACCAAAACTGAAAAAAAACCCCAAACCACAGAAAATCTTATTTTTACATCTTTCATCATTCCAAAGAGCTGCATAAGTTTTGCTCTGTAAGTCTTGTACCATGAGGTATCTTTCCCAGATGTTGGACCATTTTTATGGCACTTCCTTTATATCTCAATAACTTGTGTCACTAAACACGAATGACAGCACTGAGGAAAGTTGTCCTCACCAGTTTCTATACAATGAGGTCACTTCCCTGCTAAAATCAGGGTGTATATTTCTGTGACATAAAGCTGAAACTGATGTTTCAGTCGCAGTGGGTAGGGCAATCTGAAGAACAGGCAAGCCCTTTACAAGATCTGTTTGGGCTGCCCGTTTCTGAAACATAGTTGTTCATAACACTTTCTTGGGAAATACTGTACTCAATAGGTTTTCTTTCTAGTGTGAAAAGCAGTCCTCAGAAAGTCATGTAAGCTTTAGACTTTTTCTCCCTACGGTATTAGAGAAAATAGGTGAGAACAAGGAGAAAAATTAAAAAGTCAGTAAACTGGAGGAAAAAAATAAGAAAAAGGCTTCTACTTCGACGAGCAACTAGAAGCAATTTGCAGTGACAGTTTTTGGAGTTTGTGGTTTTTTCATGGAAATCATGTGCTTGGATCTTATAATGCCAAATAGTGATGTGATATGTTGGACACCTCTACTGGATACATCTTTGCAGTATAAACTAATTTACCTGCAAATTCCCCTTGTGTGTTTGTGGGCATAAATTCTCATTCAAGGTTATATTTTTCCAACCTGTTTTGAATACTTTTGCTTTTTGAGAAAATAGAGTTGAAACAAACATCCAGCACTTTATACTCCTCCTTCCCTTAACATTATTAAGGAAAGCAGAACAGCCCTACAAACCAGAGCCATTAACCTTAACGTAATATGCCAGGTACTGGGTGGTTCAGCAGCTTCAGAGGAGGTAAAAAAGCGGGGGAAGGGGGGGAAGGCATTGTAGAAAAATGACATCTTTTTAGGTGGAAATATCCCGTTTCGAGAGCCGCTGCGCCTCGGGCGTCCGTTATTCCCTCATGGAAAGGAGGCCGCGCGCCCCCTCCCTCGCGCGCGCCGGGGGCCGGCGGCGCCACCTGCCGGCCGGCGTGCGCTCCTGCACCCTACCGCCCTCACCGCCCCCGGGCCGGGCCGCCCGGGGAGCGAGGGCCGGGCTCGGCCACCGGACCCCTTTCCTTTCCCTTCCCTTCCCTCAGTAATAAAAGCAGCATGCGGGCTGTCCGCCACACGGACCAGCTGCCTCCCCGGCCGGCGCCACCGTCGTCTTCTCGGGAACGGCGATGTTCGCTGCAGCCCATCTGAAACAACCCCCACGAACGCGGCGTTAACAGCCACGGAACGATCCGATCAGCTTTTATCCAGGGATTTGCAGTTTTATCGCAAATGCAACTTCATCACATGAAGTTGCCTATCCACACCTTCAAGCCACAGCTTACACTTCTTCCTGATTTTTTTTTTTCCTTTCTCCTCCAGCTCTGACACTGGTGCCATGGTGTTCTTTGTCTGCTTTCCCCTGACCCAACGACCCGTGCTGCTCTTCAGGAATCCTCAGCAACACCAAACCTGCTCTAGACTAACATTATATTACACGGTCATGAACATTTACCTGAAAAACAAAATGTCAAAATGTCCATTTCTGAGAGGTTTTTAAAATCCTTCTTAATTTGCATCCCTATATAGGTCCTTGAACACATTAGGCAGATCCCTTGTTCGTTTGTAAACACAGGAGAAACCCAGCTCCGACAAACACTTCTCTAACTAGAGCTCTAGCTAATGGCTGTCCTCACATCCCTTCACTCTCCCGTCACTTCAGATTACACCAGAAACCCTCACAGCAGCACTTGTCTGCTACTGCTCATTTGCCAGTGCCCATCTTGGAGCACAGAAGTGTAAATAACGGAGCCCAAATGACAAGTTATTTGTTATAGAACAAAAATGGGTGTAAGGATGTTGAACAAAAAAGGCAAGGGTACACGTGGGTTGAGAGACCTAGCATGTTGTGGCACAGGAGATGTGTACAAAGAGTGCAATTCCTGCAAGACTCACCTTTGTCAGGGAGCTCTGGTAGGTCTTTTGGAGAGCAGAAGGTGCTTTTGCCAGGTTGTGGGCTTGGATCTTTCCCCTTCTCTTACCCCACAAGTACTCTGAGGTCTCTGCTTATTCCTCTGAGAGGAACAGGCTAGCTGAAACACCAAAATACTTGACTGAGGAAGTTGGGGCTCTTCAGCCTGGAGAAGAGAATGTTGTGTGGAGACCTCATAGCAACCTTCCAGTATCTGAAAGGGGCCTACAGGGAAACTGGAGATGGACTCTTTGCCAGGAACTACAGCGATAGATCAAGGAGTAATGGGTACAAATTGACAGAGGGGAAATTTAGGTTACATATTAGGAGGAAAGTCTTTACTGTGAGGGTGGTGAGACACTGGAGCAGGTTGCCCAGGGAGCTTATGGATGCCCCAACCCTGGCAGTGTTCAAAGACAGGCTGGATAAGGCCTTGAGCAACCTGGTCTAGTGGGGTGTCTAGGGGGGTTGGGACTAGATGATCTTTAAGGTCTCCTCCAACCTCTTAACATTCTATGCCTCTATGATTTAAATCTGTGTATATTGGTTTTCATTCCCTCTCTGGGGCAGATGATAATTTCACTAGGTAATTTTCCTCTATATATGTGAGGACTAGAACTATATTGGTGAACCGAAAACATGTTTTGTCATTTGAAAATCCAGCCCAGTGTAACAGGGAAATCATCAAAACAGGTTGTGTATGTTTTACATTATCTATGCCACCTGAAAGATTAGCTATGTTGTTCACTCAGAGAGACAGAAAAATACACCAGAATATAAACCTAAAGAAGATGGTTGCAACCAATATTTCCTTTTCCTCACAGCACTCCCGAACCCTATAAATGTGAGGAGGTCCCACTGTCTCCATGAGCAGACAGCAGTATGTCCAAACCTGCTTGCAGAGCCTGAATTCATAGACGCACAACCACAAGTTTGTAAAAAATATGTCATTTTTTAAAAAAGGTGCTTAAAAAGAATGTACCTTGATCTTCTTACCTCAGATGCTATCCAAAAATGGGGGGAAAAAACCCTACTAACTTTTCAAAACAACCATGATACCAGCAACATACACTGCCATTTTGCATGGGATAAATAATGTCTACGCTTACCCCATTATGAGCTGTTATTCTGTTCTCATTGAAACTGACCACTCCAAACTATCTTGTCTCAGGAGGATCTGATTGCTGAGGCATTTTTCGAAACCAGGAAGAGGGGAAAATACATGGTCCACCATTTTGACTGTTCTGCTGATGCTAAAAGCAGCAAAGAAATTTCTGCCACAATAGTATTTAATTCTACTTGTCACTAGTATCCCCAAAGACTGTCAGAATATGTATCAGAAAAGAACAAAGACCTTGATTCAGTCAAAAAAGGAAAATGAAGTGTGGAGAGGAATAAGAAAAAAAAAAAAAGACATAGATCTCTATACCAGTCTGTTTTCCCTTTTCTTGGAAAGAAGAAATAAAAGACATGGAGAGGAAGGAAAGGGGAAGTTTCAGGTTCTGTGTAGTTACACTCCTTCCTGACACTGCATTTCTAGGCCTGATAAAGAGCCACTAGGTTAATATTCTTGACTGGCCTTTACATTGGTTTGAAGGACTATTTGGTTGTACTAACAATGATTTAGAGACAACAGCTATGAGAAGAGGAGTTCAAAGGTATCCAATTACAATCTAATTCTGCTCTGCTTAAATTAAATATGGAAAGGAATTAGTCCAGCACCCCGTCAAAGTTTTTGCTGAGGTAGATCCAGGAGTAGATTCTCATCCCTCACAACGGCAACAGACATATATCACTAAAATGGCACCAGCAATGTGCAACAGCAAATCAAGGCTGAATTTGCAGCCCTGTCCCAAAATCGGGTGGGAAAACGAAAGAAAATAATTTTTTTCCCCACTGTTTTGTCATGCACAAATAAGTCTTCTGGAGCTGCTCAGTTGAACAAGGCTTCCATGAGCACATCAAAAGATTTTTGTTAACTGTATTTGCTGCATAAGAGACAGACCAGGGGCTATGGCAGTTCTGCCTGCTACTGAGGACAGAAACCAGCCAGTCTGAACAAACTCGAGTAAGTTCAGAAACCAGTGTCAGCTTGTAACACACAGGACAAACAGTGACACATTCAGCCCTTTGGAAGACGACCCCCATGGCTATCATTTGTGGGCTGCAGCGGGTGCTTTGCCAGCAAGGAAAAAGAGAACAGTTGGAGGGATGCTAAAAGGAAATGTCGGCACTTTTGAATAGCTCCACAGTGGGAATATCACTTCTGGCAGACTGAGAATATCACCTCTTCCACGCTGCCCTGCTTTTTCCCAGCTCCCCCTTGTCATGCAAGACAGGATCCATACTGGATCAGTCAGGGTGACTAACAGAAACAGAAAAGAACATGGTAATGTCCATGGACAATGGACGACTAAGGACCTCTTTTAGAAGCTACAGTAGGAGGCAGTGAGGTCATGGGTTCATTTTGGAGAGTGGAGAGAGAAGCAAAAGTCCTGGAAGGGCAGGGAACCACAGTCATTACTATTTACTGAAGATAAGGATTATCTTTTTGGAGAGAGAAGACAGTTATGTCCTCAAGCAGCTATCTCATCTGGGAAATGACACTGTTCTAGACAGATCTAGATTTGTCTTAAATAAACTTAAATAAACTTACTTAAATAAACTTACAAAGAGACTGTGAAAAAACACAGAGTATCAGAACAAATTTAAACCATCTGTTTGATCATCTTGCAAACTGGAAACATTGTCTTTGAGAAAATAATTTTTCTTCAGCATAACAATGTACATGGATTTGACTAATATCTGGGTAAAAGGAAACTGCCACTAAGTCAGACAGAAATTACCCAGAGTACAAGTCAATATTTAAATTATTTTAAGTAATCCTTCTTCTTTCATCAGCTTATTCTAGTAGTACCCAGGAATTTAGGCTCTCTCCAGCTCCCTTCCACACCTCCCTGAGCACTTGTTCTACCCAGCACCATTCAAATTAATTGCCTCACTGTTTATCTATTTAAAGCCATCATGCACGTCCTAACTTGCCCTATACTTCCTTTTTTCATACATATTCTGTACCATCTACATTTATCCTTTCCTGAAAGGACCAAAGTTTTAAATGACTGCATTGCAATCAAAATTATTACCAGATGATAGGATATTGTTGTCTTGTCTGCATATTGTGCTTTTAGACTATTTATTATGATCCATAATGCATAGTTCAGAGAAGATGCCTGCCTATAAAGTGGAGGCACCAAACTTGTTCTTTCTTCTCCTAACTCAAAGCCCCTTAAGAGCAATTTCACTGGATTAAAATAACAAAGGAAGCAGTTCCTGTTAACGCCCACTGGCCACACTGGTAATTCAGCCTTAGCCTTTTCGAACAGCCTAACAACAATAACATTAATTTCCTAGATTAAAAAAATATTTCAATACATGTACAGCATTGCACGAATATAAAGCAACACTTTGGAAACAGTGCCAAACCTAATACATGTTGACTGTCTTGGATTTATGGATATAGAGGTTCAAAACAGAAGCAGAAGCTGTTTTCAGAATGTACTCATTGATACCCACACACCAAACCATGCTAAGTAAAATATATAAATCTTGCACAAGCAGATAATTTTCAGCGCAGTTACAGCATGGATGGGCTAGTTCAGCAGACCCAGCTAGACCCAGCCTGTGGGAGGAGGTTTCTCCCTGGCCCAGAGCCTCTTTCCTCTGGAGGAGAGAGGGAACACCTGCTCAGTCAGCATGTGGAGTTCTAACAAGCCTAGCACCTCTGCCTGCACCTGGCCTGAGCCCAACCCAAAGGGCCACGAGCTGTTGTTCAAGTGAGGAAGGGGCAAGATGCAGACACATGTCCTCTTGCACCTCTCTCTTGGTTGGGAGTGACCTTCTGCCACCATTTCAGGACAGCAGCTGTGAGTGGGTCACTCCAGACTGGGGTGCAGCTGCTTAGCATCCCAGATCAGGCCACCATGAGTTGGCTCCCAGGATCTCTCTCACCATAAGCCATGGGGTGTCCCAACATGAAGATATCATTCAACCTCCGAGAAACTACCAAACCATTTTGAACCATTATGACTCAGTCCTTCTCTCTGTCACCTCAGCATGAGGTTTTCAAGTCTTCTCTCAAAGTCTGATGTACCATTATAACCAATAAAAAAAATGAGCATGACATCACCTTAGCCAACAGAATCAGAGACACTTTGAGGCATTGTTCACAGCAACATGAAATGTAGACAGGGGTGGGAATTGGCACCATTTTCATTGCTGGTCACAGCCATCTCTTAAGTCATTCACACAATCAGGCCTGTTTCTGAAGAACCTCTGGAAAAGTGTATTTACTTAGAAAAAAATCAAATCAGGACTATGAAGCTCAACTTATTGATATTAAACACCAACACAACATGCAACAGACAGACACAGAAGCATAAACAGATGACAGCACCACAGGCTAAGTGAAACCCAAGTTAAAGAATCAGATGTTGCAGGGCTGACCATAAATTTGGAAGAAATCAGCCACAAAAATTCTGCTTGTTTGTAACTGAAGCACTGTGAGCTCCTGCTAAGAGAGTGGCACTACCAGTGAGATCTTTCCTCTTCAGGCGTTACAAGCCTATGGAGTTTTTCTTTTGATTGCTTAGTAGCAGACTAACATAGTATTATGGTGACTCTATACGTGCCGCTAGCTAATTACCAGCTACTAAGTTCAATAAATACTATACTAGTCATACAACCGAGAAACGTACACCCTTTCCTCAGGTACAAAAACCAGGGGTTGGTTTGCAAAACTGATCAATTTATCCTTTAATAGAAATAAAAATCGAAAGAAGCAGTTACCTACAAAAATTCCAGGCTGATAGTCAAATGGTAAATGCAGCTGTTGCAGCAGAAAATTTTCAAGGCCTAGGTAAACTTTGACATGCAATATCTTGTAAAAATTTGCAGTAAGCAAGGCAACAGAGCTACTGAGGAATTTGGGAGTATTTAATAGATTGAAGGAAGTTAACAAGAACACATGGTAAAGGGAAACTGAACAGTTTCAGATGGAGAAATTCTCTCCTGGGTTTGAATAATAAAGTGTTGGTTCACTTACTACAGTTACACTGGGGCCACTGCAGCATTCATGATCCTAAGCAAGAGGGCTCAGCTGTCCAAGGCACAGAGCAACCAGCATTTAAAGGAAACAAAGGTTTAAGGAAGTACTGTCTCTTCTCCTCATGTTTTTTTCCATTTTGAACTTTAGTTAGGTAAGGCAAAGAACTGCAACCCCTGATGGAGGAATTAAAGTTCTCCCACAGCTAGGAATTTTTCTTGATACTCTCTCAACTGTCTTACTCTTC